GTTTTTAAGCTGAATTATCCATTTTAAAGTTGCACAGTAAAGGATTAGACAGCATCTAGTGGCGAGGTGGCAGATTGCAACCGAATAGTACTTCTCCCATTGTGAGGGAATAACTGTGGCTGACGTGAAACGTAGAGCCGGTGTTTGGTTTGACTTTTCTGGGCTGCAATAGAAACGTCTCTGTGAACGGATCATTCTAACAAAAACACTCACACAACAAATCTTATAGTCAGGGGATAATGCACAGTATGCCCTAAATAAAACAACACACCTGTAAAATATCTTCAGTGTTTCAGCATCACTTTCCTGACCCTTTCTTCCATGTTCTCATGGAGAGCAGCCGGTTTCAACGAGAAATGATACTTCACAACACTTCACCACAGCCATTAGCCGCTTCCCACACCGCGTGAAAACATGGTTTGTATCGCGCCTGGACAACCGGCGGGATCGGCGGAGGAATCAATGGCAATACAGCATTAATCTAGCAGAGTCCTTACGGATCAGCGGGCTGTTCATCCACTCAGAATCACAGCTGAGAAAGACGAGAGGGAGGACAGGAGATGAGGGTAAAGAGCGCTCACACACACTCACTTTAACAGCGCTCCCGCCTTTAGTCATGCGGCCAAAGTTAATGAATAAGGTCCGTCCCAAAGGTCTGTTCTACAGATGGCGTTAGATGGTAACACACACGCACAACAGAGCACACACACATTAAAATAACTAACCGCAACTTTGTGTGTATTTTAAAATCGGCATACAGCAGGAAGCTGGTATCACAACTCAAATTAGAGCAGCATCAAAACAACTAAAAGAGATTTTTATCCCCCACAAACACACACAGAAAAATAGAGAAAGAGAGTGTGTGGTCATTAACAGAGCTACATTATTAAAGAGGAAGGAGATATTATTTAATCTGCACAACATTCCATTAATCACAGATGCACAGGTGTCCTCTCGCTCACACGTATTGCGTGTCAGGTAATCCCATTGACGTGCGTTTACATCTGCAAAGTGACGGGAAGCACAGGCGAGCGGAGCTGCAAAACAACATTTAATGAGGTCTGACAAAAAGGAACCCTTGACTCAGGCAAAGCGTGAGCATGTGACGGTGTGACATGTAGAACTCACCATTATTAAGTCTTAATAATTCTAACAGTGAACCAAAGTATATACAACCATCATCAACTTCCACATCTGTTTTGCTCGAGCTTATTATCTCAGCTGCTTTAAGTAGTGGCCATGGAAAAGATGAATAGCTGAATATTCAAAGTAAATGTAAATTGTATATCTATCTCACGACTCCCTTGTCATTTAGTAGATATCCCAAACGCTCCCACACGGACAACTTGATATGTGATGTGATAATCATTTATCAGTACTGCAACAGGGAAATTCACAATAAATAGATATGATAGATATAAAGACAGATATGATCTATAACGGCTGAAATGTCATTTCCTTCTTGTATTTCTTTGCTTCTCATCTCAGCACAACTCGCAAACAAAACCAGCGACGTGATTCACACGGGAGGATTTCAGCCGAATCCTCTCAATAAAACAAGAGATGACAGAGATCATTACTGAAACACGCTCACCATTTCTATTGTCATTTGTCATCCAGCCTACTGCCCTAACGCATGGAAACAGATATTAATAAAATGCGAAAGGATGTAACATTTTTCAAGGTACACGAATCTATTGAATCGATCTTGAAAATGTCTTTGAATACCCCCTGAAAAGTGGTAACAGACAGATGAAGCCAAAATCATGAAGAGAGAGAGTCAGAAAAAAATCTTCACATCTACATGTTAAGATTGTAAATAGTAGTGATCAAGTTGTTTTTAAACCAGTGAACCAGAACATCTACTGGTTGAACTGAGAATCCTGGAATAGTCTTTCTCGCTAGCAACAACATGGCAGTGTTTGTTCAAGGCTTAACTTAATGGTAAAAAAATAAATAAAAAATGATGCCTCTGTCTCCGTTGTGAGAACCAAAGTGGATTTTCACCAAGCCGTAGAATATTCATGCAGAAGCAGTTGTATAATGGCTTTTGGCAGAGCGCAGCATTAACGGCAGTTATGTCTCGTTTGTCTGCTTGCAGTCGAAGAACAAGAAACCTCATTAAGGCTCAGAGAGGTGCTGAAGTAAGAAGCTGTCATACCAAGGAGTTGAAGCCATTACGTACAGTCTAAATCTAAACAATTTAAATAAAGTGGACAAATGTACAGTATACATACTTGAATTTAATTGACAGAAAAGAATCAGTGAAATGTTTCTCCTTTCTCATTTTTAAATGCATCTTTACCTGGCTGAGTAGTTTCTACAACCAGGAGGCTCTGTACTGTAATTCCACAGCTTAACAAAGACTGATCTTTTATTGCACGTGTGTGTGTGTGTGTGTGTCCTTGGTCATGCGTGCACCTCAATCTCCACCTAGGAAGCAATCTTCCACTCAGGACGTCTCTTACGCTGCTAGTGCATTTCCCAAGGTCAACCATCGTGCTCACACACAGACACACACACACACACACACACACACACACACACACACACCTGTGCACCACCGAGATCAAAGCTCCTCTGACACGCCCACATGACCACGGCCACCTTCCCCATCAACTCACAGCACCGCTCCTCTTCTCCGCTCATCAGCGCTCACATCCTTCTCCCTGAAGGCTTAATCGTCTGTGCTTCAGAAGGTCCATGATGCACCAGCACTCTGCGGAGGGCTTCAGGCCTCAGAAGGGAGGAGAAGTTCCATCGTCAATTACCGTCTTCTAATTTAAATATATATTTACGTGATTTTTCCCTTTTTGGTATACTTGATCTGGTATTTTGTTTCCTTAGTTTTAATAATTTATTGTACACTGTGCACTGCCTAGAAGTTTAACGCGACAATAATTAACATTTAACTTCATCCCATTAGAAAAACATCGACGACCTGTAACATCTGTCCGTCATAAACATCAGTCCAAGTGTAGAGATGGACTTATATTTTAACATAATAGCTACATTTCGATCCATTGTCTGTGACATTAAGAGGTCCATTGTCTGTGACTGGCCCATTCAAATATTTGGTGCTTAATATATGTACAATCAATACAACAATTCAAAGCTCTCTATTCTCAATGCTACACTGCTGTATGATCCTAGCATTCATATTTATGACAATTGTTAATCATGTTAAAGTCTGGCTTGGACCAAGCTGTAAATACAGCATTTACATGCTAGTAGTTGTGCTGGCATGCTGGCCAAAGTTACTTATCCACACACCCTGAAGATATAAAGCACCCGTTCCATTCAATTGAAGTTGTCACTTACTCCTGAGAAGGGGATTTGGCTCATGAGCTGCTAAATACTCCACTAGTCATTGACGTTGAGCCTCAGGAATCACGAGCGTGGCGGCTGAAAACAAGTTTGATACGATCTGTGAAACTCAACCAAAACAGTTAAGTTGTGTTCTGTAAAGCTAAAGAGGGTTGATGACAGTTTTGCAGAAGTTTTGAAGCTTAATCTTCTATCTTCCTCATTAACCTTGTAGGTATAGTGAGTGAGGACTTATAACATATGCTTGAGACAATTAATGATGATTAATAACAAAGAAATGGCTGGATGCTCTTATGAACAAAAGATCTGAAAAGACATCAGCAATCGGCCCCTGTCAAACTTTGGCGACAAACATTTTCACCAAAGTGCTCTCATTTTTCCTTCACAGTCTCAACTTTCTTTGCCTTCGACGCCCCCGCCTCATCATCGCCCCAGTCTGCTTTAATTTAAACTTCAGCAGGGAAGAAAAGTGGTGATCGGAGGCACCAACAGCCCGAACGCTGGGAGCGATCTGCCGCCGGCTCTGTCTGGGTTTTTGTTTTCCTTTTAAGAAAGACGAGACTGTGAACAGCGATAAAGTTAGAAACCCAAACAAGTTAATGAGGAGCAGGAAATAACGAGCTGATTCTACGATTAGAGGCGTAGTTCTTCGCCGCGCTAAATAAAACCAACAGCTATTTCCCATTAACATATCTTTTCTTGATCTATGCGTGTAGCGATAAGAAGAAAGGGGCCGCCTGCTTTAGGCTTCACTGAACTCGCTCTTTGATAAAGTTGGGGGCGGCCGTAAGAAAAACGGCCATGAAATCAACACCCGTCCTGCACTCTGACTGAGGAAAAGGCCGACGTGAAGCTAAGCAGCCGTGCTGTCCGCAGGGGCCGAGTCAGGTAAAGGTAATTGCTTAGAGAGAGAATGAAACGGCAGACAGGATCAGGGGGAGAGGTGACAGCCTGTAATTGGAAACGGAGAAAAGAGGAAGATGGTGGAAAAAGGAGGGATAGACCGAGAGGGGATTGGGGGAAGGGGGGGGGGGGTGTAATACCCAATGCAAAGCTTCTGTAATAAGCCATTCGCCCTCTGCCACAACATGAAGTAACACATGTCATGTTACTACACATGGCATCCTGCAGCGCGGGTAAACATGTCTCTGATCAGAGCGCACAAACAGCAGCCGTGTGAGTTACATCCCTTTTTTTTGGTGAGCACAATTTCTGAATGCAAATGACTCGCGACAGAAAAACCTGATGTAATGAGCAATGTTGCAGCGATAAAAAAAAAAAAAAAGAGTGTTAAATCAAAGGGACTGTTTTATTCGTCCGGCAGAAAGCAAACACGGAAACGCTCCACCAGTAGAGATTTAATTACATGCATCACAACCTACGTAACCCATTATGAAATGCCTCCAGTGCTATACATTAATCGTTATTGCGGGATATAAATAGTAATAAAAGCAGAACCAGGCGCACACACAATCTCTCCTCCTCCCTTGGTTGTAAGTATCTAAGGGGAAGCAGGGAGACTTGTCAGGGCGGGTAGTCGTCAATCCTTAAGATTTGCCGGCATGCACTGTTGCGTTTCAAGTGTTTTTCTGCGCTCTCTCGGTAACATCTCAGCCACCACTGAGTATACGATGTACATGCGCAGGAGTGTGTGCACTTAGAAGTGAACGTACCAGAGAATGAAGCGTGGTCCCTGGTGCCTCTTCATCCGTCCAGCTGCTCGGGTATATGTGAATCTATTCGGCCCGTCCTCTTTGCCCACAAGTTGCCAACACCGCTCCACACGTGCCAGCTCCTCCTCTCCCGTGTCCGCGTCTGTCTCGCTCGCAGACCGTGGCATCAGCAGCTGTACCAAAGCTGCCTCCCCCCCCCCACTCTTTCCTCTCCCCCTCCCTCCAGCCGGGAGGCTTCGTATGTGCACCCACCTCCTTTCGCTCCTTGATGGTTGTTGTCCCAAAATGTTATCCAGGCACTCACAGGAGGGGGGTGCTCGTGTGAGATTCCCTTCTGCTTTCAAACGGGGCTCCTCGGCGGGTCGGAGGCGCCCTCCATCTCTCGCGGTCGTGGACGTGGGGTTATGAGAGAGGAGAGGGAGGATGGGGAGGGAGCGTGCTGTTGCTGAAGCTGTTGCCTCTGCCTCCTTCAGTGTGAGCGCCTCGCTCTCACTTAGCATGCCTTTCATCTCTCTCTCGCTCCCCCTCGCTCACCCTGGTCTCTCAGTAACCCCCTCCCAACCTTTTCTCAGTCGCTGTCTATCTGCTGCCGCTCCGGCTGTTTGGATTCACAATTCAGCGGGCTGCCGGGCGCGCGGCTCAGGGAGTCTCTCTAATCATCCGGGCAGGAAGGAAAGCCAACAGGCTGAGAGAAGGAATGTAGAAGAGGGGGAGATGATTCGATTTGTAGCCTGGAAAAGATGGAAATAAATGATCTTTTAAAATGGTGTGCTTTGCAAAAGTTACTTCCAAGCAAGGGCGTAGGTCTGGTCTCGGCATTGGTAGGGACACCACTACACCACTACACAGTTTCCTGAATGCATTTCAAGATAAAAATAATAATAAATGAGAAGTACATGCAATGTATTTAATCATTCTGAAATGAAGGTTTAATATGTAGGTATGTACTCAGTCATTGTATAACGCATAAACTTAAACATATGCCAATTCATAGCATCTTTTTACTACCTAAATATAACATGTATTCTAAAATAGCCAGTGTAATTGATCACACTTATGGGTAAAAATGTCTAAACACCCATGATGCAAACTTTACCACGTTAATTCCGCCAGTTAATATCACTTTTGATTTGCTAGTCTGCTAAACTAGCATGCTCCCATTTGTGGGTGTGTTAGCTGTTAGCTTCAACAAGGCGGCTGCTGCTGACGCACCGGTCCAAAGGCTGCAGACGCTAAGAGATTTAATACAAGTAGCTCCACACAAGAGGGTGGATACCCGACGCTCGGACAGAAGAATTTGGCGGATCCGTAAGGTACGAACACTAACTTCCCAACTTCCACTGTAGAATGGGCGGCATCGTAAGGCTGTCAAGTTTGCACTGTGTGGGTAGTTAGCCTACTGCTAACGTTAGCTAACAGCGACCTTAGCTAACGTTACTTACTGGGTAGTGAAAAAGCGGACGGATATCTCTTCTTTTTCTACAAAGCACAAAGGGGTCAACAATGTCAGTGCCGAGAACAAACAAAATACTCATATGAGGCTTTATTATTTGTTTTTTAAGGCGTTTTCAGTAGCTCACCGCGTCAGACTAGCAGCTCTCATTCTACAGGGACGATTCAGTGTTTCGGACGCTTCAGCCAATCAGATGACAGCATCTGGTCCCGCGGGCTCGAGGACGCGTTGGAAAACTTGGAAATCTATATTTTACTCTTCTGGGCGACGAACATATTAAAGATAATAATAAGAATGAGTTAGCAAATAAATTGTGCACATTTATTTTTATAACAGGCAATTCAAATTATCCTAATATTGTTGGGGACAATCGGGTCTTTTCCCAAACTTTGGTCGTGACTCTTCCCTGGATCCTGTGCAGACCTACGCCCTTGCTTCCAAGAAACTTTAACATTAAGATGAAATTATTTTAGATACATCAGTTTTAATCAAATATCATTCAACATACGTTTTTTTGTGTATTATCATGATCATATTATTACATTCATTCAAACATTCATGATACATCGGCTCCTCAATAAACCTTTTTTCCAAGTTGCGTACCAATCATTTACCAGTGACTAGTTAATCCATGTATTTTCATACATGGAGGATGGACTTTTCATAAAGAAATGTTGAGAAGATTCTGGATATACCTTCAAGGCAGCAGTAGGTTTAACAATTTTTAGCTTTCAGAAAAACAAAATCTTAGCTGAATGACTTGACTGTAATAAATTATGCATTAGACACAAATCGCTGCCATAAACAGCCAAAAACAGAAGCACTAAAAAGTTCTCGGATGCAGAAGTAGTTTGCCCGATCTATTGCAGCAAGTTTCTCTAGAGTTGAGTCATCTCGAATGCAAAGGCCCGGTCACCTCAGGCTCATACTTGGTCGGCTCGTGAAAAAAAGAGCCAGTGGTCATAAGGGTTGTGACTCTTTTGGTATCTGACAATGTAATCACTTGTGTTTCCTGATAAACTTTAGGATGTGCTGTTGGCTACGTTTTATGTCAACTCCAGTAATATTTTTTCAGATAAATACAGAATATTTGACAGCCCTAGTGTGTTGGATTACTGTTCCTCGGTAGCAATATCGAGGTCCTTTGGTTAGTGATTCTATTTGGATTTTTTGAAAATAAGAAGATAAATAAGAATTTAAGAATAAGAACAATTTTTTTATAAGAAAATAAGAATTTAGATTCTTACATGAATATACGCCGAAATGCATAAATATTGGTTCGTCTTTTAAATCCCTTTGCTGTACTATACTGGAACAAACAGCACCAAGTTGCTCCTAATATATTATTATGAATATAATAAACAAGATACAAAAGAGGGATTTAAGCTAAAAACAATTGTTCTTTGGGGGTGTCCTGCTTCCAGTGAGTTTGTTCTGTTTAATCATCCACCACATTTTGCCTGAAGCATGCAGAGAGAGGGAGCGAACGAGAGAGAGACAGAGAGAGAGAGAGAGAGAGAGAGAGAGAAAATAGACATTTTTATTGTTCAGCCCTGTTGTCATGTCAGGCTAAATCAGATCAGAGGGACGGAGGTCCAAACACACGCACACACACACACGCCCTTAATAGCCTGGCTGACTGACCCCAGGGTCAGAAAACAGCTCATCGCAGGAAAGAAGAAGTCTGGCCTGCGACCCTGAGGTCAGGTGTCGGGCTCGTCACAACGCCTGTTGGAAGCCAAGTCCAGCAAACGCCTTCCGCTCTCACCTTTGAACCGATCCAATGTAGGTCAGCTTTCACTGGAGTCAAGGATCGTACTGTACTGAAAGGCTACCAAATTTGAATTCCCTTCACTCTTTTCCAGAATGATCAACGATCAAGTTGTTTATAGTTGTATTTCTACTGATTTATATTTTTGTAACTCACTCCTGGCTAACTACACTTTACTTTAGGTCAGGAAACATCTATCCTTTAAGTCAATAACCATAAATATGAATTTTGAATAAGTGAATTCAGTTAAATGTTACTTAAGTTTGCCCATGAATAGTCCTGAATAAAGAAACAAATCCGACATTCAAACAAAGTGTCCTTGGTTTGGTGATTACCTGAGGTCATGATTTCTTCTTATGTGAGACTTCAAGTCCCTCTCTATATTATTATTATTATTATATTATTAGTATATATGCTTGTCTTATGTTGAACGGCCTCATATCATGAAATATATAGAACACATATAACATATGGAAAATGATGCTGCACTCTGGTTCACAACATATTCTGTTATGATTTGCATATATTATTTACACACTATAATCATCCAACATTACAATTGTTGAAGGATTGTAGAATATATTCAATTAAATTGTTAAATATTTTACATCTTTCTCATTAAACCTACAGATATTATTCTCTTACGGTAAGCTAAATGGTATTTTTCTGCACAAACTTTGTTGACGTCCTGTTAAAGATGTGACAGTAAATATTCGACTTATCACAACGGTATAGTATAATATAAGAAGAAAATAAGAAAAAGCGTAAGTCAATTATTAAATTCTTTATAATTTCGTCAAGTAGTGGGGATGGGTGCAGCGTGGAGAAGAGGGGAGGAAGAGCCGAGCGATTAGCCTCCAGCCTTTCAGCGCCACTATGCATTGACCTCTTGAACATCTGGCTAAAAATCCTGTCTCCTTCTTCTTCTATTTCATCTCCTCATGCATTTCTTTCCTCATTTTCTCCTGCCGAGTCTGTCTGTCCCACATCTTCTTGCCAAAAAATGTCTACTCTTCTTTTTTTATATTCCCACAGAGGTCCTTGCAGACCTTCTTCTCGTCCTCCAGCTGATTGATCTTGGGCAGCTCCTTCTTTTACTCTTTGACTACGGAGCGTCAATTTATTCCTGCCAGGCTTCATTGCTCTGAAAGCGTTCATTCTCTTTGCTTCTCAGCAATCCCTTCGTTTCCGCGAGCTTCTCATCGACAGACTCCCTATCGAGACCCAGGTTGTGTCTCTCTCTACCCGATCTGTTTCTCTAATTGACCCCTTCCTCTGCCACTCGGCCCAAAAGCACGTCCAAGCTGCTGTTTCAGCTTGAGGTCTGTGTTGGTCTGCTGTCCCCGCCGTGGGAGATTGCAAGAACTGCAAGAAGGCTTCAGTGTCTGCTGAAGTCTGCTGCATGTGTTGGAGACTTTGCTGGTCTTGCGCTTGCTGTGGAAGCATGAACCTGACATGTCTGTTTGGTTGCCTGTAGCGGGCTGTTGATTTGCGTTGTAGATCGTCTCTCTGCCGGAGATCAGACCGTAATTGGAGGATTTGTCTTAGACGGGTTCTTTGAGGTGTGCTGTACGACTCAAGTGCAGAGAGAACACACAGCAGAGAGGAGGTTTTGTAAAGAAATTAAGTGGTATATATTGCCCTGAACAAAACAGAGCTGAAATGAATGAATATGTAACCAGCAGAATGAACACGCAGTGAGACATAAAAAACAATAAACATAATAATACAAAATGAGTAGTCGCATGAAGACGCAGGGATTGGATCAGGGAAACACGATGAACATTGACGAACATCGCTGGCATGTGAGTTGAGTGGAATAACATTTAACAGTCTGGCAATAGGTGGGTGAACTGCTGAGTTTTAAATAGTGATGAGGGCGGTAATCTAAACAAAGACAGGAAGTGAAATAATTGGTGAGATATGGGTTGTTAGAAAAATGAAACAGGAAGTGAAACAAAGCATGCGAGTCTGTCACAAAGCTCCTCTCAAGCTCAAGACTGTCCATCGCAAATACAGAATTCTCTGCTGTTATTCCCATGGGTATGAAGTTCGAATGAAAAAGCGACGTCTCAAATGTACTTCGGTGTGTAGCAACGTCTTCCAGTCGAAGCCACACTGTCTAAATATCATGCAAAACGTTGTAGTGAAAGATATTACTGTCAAACTGTGTTTTTCACCCGCAATTGCTGAAACTAACATCCAATCTTTCTGTGACCTATTCCTCTGTTTGAAGGTCAATCATTTCGAGCTTCATTAACAATTCTGGTATTTTCCTTGTGACTTCATCCTGAACAGTGACAAAG